TAGAGAACTTAAAAAAGATTTTCTTCAAAGAAACCACTGAGCATAAACACACAAACCAAAAAAAGCAACTTCACTTTGTTCTTTGATTTTTTCGCAATTGTTAAGACAGAGCTATAAAAAAAGGCCGAGAGGCTGCATTCCCTTCTTAACGATTACCAGGCTAAAATAGTATCGTAGCAGTATCATAATCACTTATTTTAGCTGCCGTCTGATATGAAGTTTTTGTTTAATTATTTTTTTTATAATAATAAACAATGAATCAGATTAAAAACAGCTAATTCATTTTTAATTTCTAAAACATTGCTGATACTTTACAAAAACTGAGTTTTGATTGATGGCTATCAGTTAATTCTTTGTCGCAAAGCTTGATTCCAAAAACACAAAATTCTATGATTTCTATTTTGGATTGAGTTTTGGATATCATGAAGTAGGTAGGTTGAGGTTATGGAAATAACAAAAAGCATATATAGAGCAACAACAGCTAATTCTTAGCTAACTGCTTTGGTTCATAAATTGTTCATTTCTTATATTCTCTATTCGACTTTACAAAACTTATGTAAATGATAATCATGAGGATATCAAAAGTTTATCTTCTGCAAAAATTGACATTTAACAACTGTGATTTATTTGTTGAATTTACCCCGCAATTCCTAATTTTTCTATGCATAAGATGTTTTGATTGTCAAAAATTGGTTTAAAATGTTCAAAAAACATAGAAGTACTTTTAAATGCAAAAATTAAATCTAAGCGATCATGAAAAATCAGATATTTTGAAAACTAAAGGTAGCCTCAAAATGTTTTTAAATATTTAACGATAAAAACTTTTCATTTCCAGTCAAGAAATTATAAAACTTTGCTTTTATAGAAAAAACTTTTAGATCAAAAAATTATAACTGCTAGTTATTGTTCTTGCTGCATTCATGCTTTGAATAGGAAGTAAATGCCTGATATGAAGGCTTAGAGTTTCTTTATTCTCGTGACTATCAGCAAATTGTGAAATTGTTCGTTTTCGAGAATTGAGTGTTAGACTGATGATTATCAGAAGTGTGCTCATTTTCATTGATTGTTAACTTTATTGTATTCCCATTTAGCTTGCTTTTCAAGTATAGTGTCCGACGCAAAGCTAGATTAACTCTTCCACACAGTACTTGATTCAAATATTCATATTGTGAACTTGATGATTGCCTTTTTTTTAAACTGATAATCGTCAGAAAAACCTGAAGTTCCTATTTGAGTTTTTTTTTCACATATCATCAATCAGAAATTTTACAATTTTTTTTCAGAAAAGTTTTGTCAAATATTAATTTATGGTAGGAGTACTTTATGAAACTTGGGAAAAATTTTCTGTTTTTTTTGTCTACTGAAAAGTCTTATTATTCTGCAAATCTATAAATTTTTCTAAATTAATTTTTGCCATTTTTTTCAAGAGTTTACGTAAAATTTTCAAGAATCTATGATACGTTTAAAAAATCTTTTTACGTAAGATAAGTGTAGATAATTGAGACATGTAAAGGAGTGATATGTCTGAGAACAGATTTTTTTAATAGCGAGAAATTGGAGTACAATTGATATTTTTAGATTGCGCTTATCGTCTGGCGTGTGAGCCTTGAAATAAATCAAATTTTTGGTTTTGCAAATTCTTTTTATATCTAACTCCTCATTAATTAATTGTTATTTAAAAATTGAAGACAACTTAATTGACACTGAAATTGAAAATGATTTTTACCTCGGGAGAATTTGAAAGATTATATTAACAACTTTTAAGTTTTTTGTGATGTTTTCAATGTACCGACTGCCTTTTAATTAGATTCAAATAGTTTTGGAAAAAAAACTATTGTTTCATATGACCAACAAAACCATTCGCTTTAAATTTCGCAGAATGTATTTTTATAATTTGAAGTTTATAACGTTTATCGATCAGTTTTCTGAATCCATGAAAATACAGGGAAGTAAATCAAATACGTTGAAATAAATCAAATTTTTGGTTTGCAATATCTTTTTATATCTAACTGCTTAGATTTTATAGAATTAATTGTTATTTAAAAATTGAAGAAAATTTAATTGACACTGACATTGAAAATGATTTTTACCTTTGGAGAATTTAAAAGATTATATTAACAACTTTTAAGTTTTTTGTGATGTTTTCAATGTACCGACTGCCTTTTATTTAGATTCAAATAGTTTTGGAAAAAAACTATTGTTTCATATGAGCAATGAAACCATTCGCTTTCAATTTCGCAGAATGTATTTTTATAATTCGAAGTTTGTAACGTTTTTCGATCAGTTTTCTGAATCCATGAAAATACAGGGAAGTAAATCAAATTTTTGGTTTGCAATATCTTTTTATATCTAACTGCTTATATTTTATACAATTAATTGTTATTTAAAAATTGAAGAAAATTTAGTTGACACTGACATTGAAAATGATTTTTATCTTTGGAGAATTTAAAAGATTATATTAACAACTCTTAAGTTTTTTGTGATGTTTTCAATGTACCGACTGCCTTTTATTTAGATTCAAATAGTTTTGGAAAAAAACCATTGTTTCATATGACCAACAAAACCATTCGCTTTCAATTTCGCAGAATGTATTTTTATAATTCGAAGTTTGTAAGGTTTATCGATCAGTTTTCTGAATCCATGAAAATACCGGAAAGTTATTTGTTTTCGATACTTTTGAAAATAAAACTGCAATTTCTTTTTTCTAAAGTTACTCACTTTCTTTTGCCCTTGGGGTTTGATATAGACAATACCAGCACCTTAAACATATAAGTTTTAAAGCAGTACTTATTTATAAAAAGATTTTGATTAGGGCAAACACATGACTAATTCAGTTGCCCTGTAAAGTATTTGGTATAATTTTGGCGAAAAAAAAAGAAACAAAAACTAATTTTGATGAAAATTCTCCCCACTAAAATTGTCTAAGCTGAAAAGATAAAGCTTGTAATGAGTTGTGCGGTCAATAAGGTTTGTGGCTAGTAAGGTTTTACGTGTTGTTATGTTTCCATTGAAACAAATTTCAATTTCTTGATTCGTGATCAGTTCTGGACAATACTTTCAAAGGTGAGCTTGAAGAAATTGATAAGTCTCCGATAAAGTGCTCCTCGTTCCGTCCAATTTTAGGAGAACGTTGCTTGCACAAGCTAAGAAAACTTGATTGAAAATAAAACTCGATGTAAGTTCTTCTTCAGTGCATCCATATATGGTAAAAAAAAATTTTAATAAAAATTAACTCAAAAAATATTATGGAAAAAAATTAGCAGTTTTAAGATAAAATTTTTAATTTTTTTAAAGTTTTAGATTGAAATTCATCTTTGAATAAAACTTTGTCGAATTATACTAAGTCAACTAAATTTTCACGGGTTGGGTTAGTTTTCCCACCACGCATAAAAAACAGCAAAAGTTTAAAAAAAAAACAGTTTAAATGTTGTTATATGCATATGGCGGATTTTTTTTTGCTAGTTGCACAGCACTTGCCTAGCTTTGCGCAATTTAGTGCAAAAGGTTTTGGATTTTCTGGGCCTGAAGTTTTACGTCTGCTTGCATCGTGTTGCCGTAAATAGTTTGACACTAGTGTATCATTATCTTTGGCGGGAGCAATAAAATTTTTAATCGATTATTCAGTTTGTGTAGCAGTCGTTTATTTCTTCTCTCTAGATAGTTTTCGTGTGTAATTTTGTGTGTTATTTTTTTTGTTAAATTTAAAGTTAGTCAATTATTTGTTTTTTGACATTTTTCTCAATTTTTTTCTGATTATAAAAGCATATTTTTGTTGCTCTAAATATAACATAGTCTGGTTTAAGTATAAATGTTGTGGCTGCCCGACAATACCGTCTGTAAAGGTTGCTTGATTGCTCACTTGTTTGTAGGTATCTTTAAACAGTATTTTTCAAGCCATTCAAAAATTTTTCAATTCAAACTTAGCGTTTTTGCAACAAAATCATGATTTTAGTTGTTCTATCTGAGTTGGTTTTGCTTCTTGTAGTAGAACATGAATCTTATCGTATCCCTTAAAAGGGTTAAATTATACAATGTTTTGTCGTTTTCTTTAAATGATTTTTCTCTTTCATGCTTGTGTGCTTTTTTTTTTGATATGTATCCAAAGTTTTTGGTTATAAGGATTTTTTTCAAATCTTATTTTTCTCAATCAAGAGTGTTGTATTTTAGGTGAAATTATCAGCATATCATTTGATTTTGGTCGAAACTTTATATTAATGTTATAAAATCAGTTGTTTTTGGGCCGCTTTGCCATTCGACATGTTGTGCAGCAAAAGTTGGGAAACGAAAAATCACCAATCCGATTGATTAAAACTAGTGATTCGAAAAGAATGTAAATTATTTCATGAGTTATAGATAGAAGTCAATTGATTTTTGTTAAATGCGGTTTTAAATAAGTAAATCAGTTCAATCGTAGATTTAGTTCAAGTAGAAAGCTGAGATGTCTTTTTTAGGCTTCAACATTCCACCTCCCTTGAAGTGTCTTCATGTTTTCAGATCCTTATTATGTCTGGATATGACTACCCATTTACAGTGTATGAGACGAAGGAGAGGAAGAGTAGGGCGGAGTCGGGTAGAGCACCACGTCTGCCTCCACATGGCGAGGAGCGAAGGTCCAGTAGGCGGGGCGCTGTCGACCGGGAGGACCTGCAGGGTTTCTTCGATGCAGTGACCAGAGGAGATCTGGGTTTCACTCCGATTCCTGTAAAGTCGTTGGATGAGATCCAGTTTTCAAGGAAGGAAGCTGCAATCGTGGATAGGGCAGTTCTGCGGTTTCCGAAAGCTGAGACTGTGAGTAGCATTTATTCCATTGTATCATAGTAGTAGAGTATAGCGGGTGTGCATCAATTGTTTGTTTTGTTTTAGTAGCAACTTAGAGGTCTTTAACGTATTAGTGACCTCACCGTAGAAGGGTCATTGTGCACTGGCTGGGAGGTTGGAGTTAACTGTCGAGAGACTCCTAGTGTGACAGCTAAGGGTGTTTTTGGCGTCATGTCTGGAGGTCAGTCCAGATGGCCAAAGCAGGTCTTTCTTCTCTTCTCCAAGGTATTTTTGTAGAGTCCTCGTCCTTCCGGACTTTCCATCAAGACTTGGATGAGGAAGATGATGCTGTTTTGTGCCTTCTGGGGGGCCGAAAGTTGTGCCTGATGACATCTGAAGTTAATCTCTCTGGTGAACTTGAACGCCTGGCCGGTAGCAATGATTCGGAGATGGGGTTCACTGATGCTGCTAAGTATCTGAGGAACCTTGGTTCTCAGCAGAAGAAACTGGTCCACTATGGTGTTCTTGAGAAGGGGAAAAGTTTGTATCTTCCATGTGCGTGGTGCCATGCAGCTCTGACTCTCTGCGACGAAGAGAGGGTCTGCTGCATGTACTATGCGGAGATGCAAACTCGACTTTCCTTGGTAGAATCTGCGTGGAAGCGCTGCCAGCAACACTGCAGGGTCAACAAGCGAAGAGGATCAGATGACAGCGAATCGCATGACAGCGAATGACTGTTCAACGGTAAATATGTAAGCAATTATTCAATAATTGAACTAAATGTGACTGCACCATAAGTAAGGAGTATACAAGTGAAGTATTAACGGTACGAGTCATGAGCGAAAGTTTGTGTACTTAGAAAAACAATTTATGCGAATTAATGGTTGTAAATCATTACAATACGACATCTTTGAATATAATTTAAAGGCAAATATAACATTTTAACAGTTTGACGTGATCAGAGAGCCTATTGTTACATTCAAGACAGTAGCGTAGGCGTATCCTAGCTGTTTTCAGACAATAATTACATTTTGGGTCTTGAGGGTACAACCTCATACGAATTTTAATGCACGATTTTGCACAAAAATTGATAAAAATTTACATCATTTTCGACTTTTATGAACATACAACATTAGGAATTTACATGAAAGTGGTCAATATGAACGATTCAGACCATAATGCATTGCATAGGGGTAATTTAGGTTCCTACTTTCAAAAAGGTCATGGGGGTACTACCACTTAAAATTTGAAAACTGCACATTTTTGATATTTTTCGATTTTTAGCACTATAAAATTCTTGTTTTGAATGAACTGCACTTTGGATATACTTGGTTGCTATACTGGTAGCTTTCGCAGCTTCGCGACTGGGCGTATGTATTCACCAGTTGTGGTTTTCACTTTTACCACTCGAACAATCGAGTCATTTCCAGGATAAACTTCTATGATTCGTCCAGTTTTTCATTCTAGCGGTCGTTCATTGTCTTCGGCAAGTAGGATTAGGTTGCCAACTTTAAATTCTGGTCCATCCATGAACCATTTTTTCCATATTTGTATCGTTATGAGGTAATCCCTTTTCCAAACTTTCCAGAAATCCTTGATCACGTTCTGTAATAAACGATATCGTACATTGGTTGAAACTTGGATGTCAGCAGAGGGAAGAGTTAGCAATGATTCCCCTATCAGAAAATGAGCGGGTGTCAGCGGAGTTGGGTCGTTAGGATCACTTGACATTGGATACAATGGTCGTGAGAATTTGATTAAGAATTGTAAGAAATTTTTCAAAACTGAGACGTTGCAGTCCTTCAACTTTTCGCATATGTTTCTTCATACTTTTTACAGCTGCTTCCCAGAGTCCTCCGAAGTGAGGAGCACAAGGAGGGATGGTGACCCATTCAGTTCTTTGGCTATTGACAAAACTAACAACTGATTTGTCCGTTCCATTTTTGTCGAGCAGTTCCTTGATTTTGATCAGATCTTTTCGAGCCCCGATAAAATTGCTTCCTTTGTCACTTAAGATCTTCTCAGGTTTGCCACGGTGTGCAGTAAATCGTTTCAATGAAAGGATGCATGCTTCTTTGGTCAGACGAGTAACAATTTCTAAATGAATAGCTTTTGTCGCGAGACAAACAAAGACGGCAACATAAATTTTTGAGACCTCTGCTTCCTTAATTTCAAAGGGACAAGCAAAGTCTATTCCACATTGAGCAAATGGTTTTGCGGGTGTTATTCTTTCTGTAGGAAGATCAGCCATGAATTGAAAAGTAGGTTGCTGACTAAATCGGACACATCTCATGCATCTTCTAATGAACTGTCGAACTAGATCACGGCCTCCGATTATCCAAATTTCCTCTCTCATTGTGTTCAGTACTAATTGCCCCCCGCCAGGAAGAGTATCTTCATGATATTTGCATATAAGTAGGGATACTAAATCAGATTTTTCTGAAACGAGTATTGGAAACTTCTTGTCTGTTGGGTAGTTCGATTGTGAAAGCCTGCCTCCAACTCTTAGTAGATCGTAATCCTTGTCGAAAAACGGACTAAGATTGAGTAGTTTCGATGTTTTACTCAGCTCCTTTTTCACCTTCAGACAAATTAGCTCTGATTTGAAGTTTATTTCTTGGTCTAAACGAAGAATAAGCATTTTTGCCATGATTCTATTTTTAGGACTAAGACAATCTTCTTCAAGTTGTACATCAGATGTCCGCTTAGATCTGAGCCGCTTCCGATAGTTTGTCGATATTCTATGCTTAAGATGTTGAACAAATGATAGTACATAGCATGCGATGCGTACTGTCTTGTTGCAAGTGCTGTAGTCCTTTAAACGAAAAATTCCATCCGTCATTTCTTCGTTTTGAGCATGATTTGCGAGAACAGTTCGAATTTGTTCACTTTCTGCATTAACCTTGGCTTTGACGGTTCGTTTTTCAGGTGCTTCAACTAGAGATAGTGGTAGGTTGGGCCAGTGCCTTTCATCCTTGGTCAGCCAATCTGGTCCATTCCACCAGAGTGAGGAAGATATTAATGTGTCAGCTAATACACCACGAGAGGCTAAATCAGCTGGATTTACTGCTGTTGGCACGTGTTTCCAATCACTTCTGGGTAGGGTCTCTTGTATTTGTGAAACTCTGTTTGCAACAAAAGTGTTCCACGTTCTTGGAAGTTGAGCAATCCATTGCAAGACAATTGTTGAATCAGTCCAGGCGTGTGAAGTTATCTTGAGATTTGTTTTCCTCAAAATTGAATGAACTGATTTAAGAAGTTTGGTAGCTAAACTTGCACCGCAGAGCTCTAATTTGGGAACACAGATTGCTTTGACCGGAGCAACCTTTGTTTTGGAGGTCAGTAGATACGCAAAAGTTTTGCCATCATCATTGGTAATTCTTGCATAGATTGCGGCTGCATATGCTTTTTTGGAAGCATCACAGAATACGTGAAGTTGAACCTCCTTTATTGAATGTGAGCTCATAGATCTTGATATCTGTAGTTTCAGTAGTTGAGGCAATGTTCCGGTGAGCTCATACCATTTTTCCTGTGTTTTCTGATCGACTTCAGAATCCCAATCAAAACCTTGGACCCATAGCTGTTGCATGAGACATTTGAAATTGATGATGAATGGAGCTTGCCATCCCATCGGATCAAACAATTTTGAAATTGTGGACAGAAGAGTCCTCTTTGTAAGCAGTTTCAGCTCTGGTAAGGCAGTTGAAAAACAAAAGATGTCCTTATTGGGCTTCCAACTGACTCCTAGCGCCTTGATTTTCTATTCGTCAGAGAAAAGTTCCAGCACATCCGATTTTTCGCGGAGATGTTCTGGCAATCCTTCAATTATTTTAGCATTGCTTGAAGTCCATTTTCGTAGAGGGAATTCATGAGAGTTCAGCTCTTCGCATAAATCAGAGATGAGTCTTTCTGCTTCATGCTTATCATTAGCGCCACCAAGAAAGTCGTCTACATAGAAACAATTTTTGAGACTTTCTTTGATCATTGGGTTCTTAGATTGATCTGCTACTTCATTGAGGCATCTTGTTGAGTGAAAAACTGACAAAGCTATTCCATATGTAACACGTATCATCCTGAGATGTTTGATTTCATCGATTTATTTGATCTCCAAAGTATGCGATGGAATTCCTTCGATTTGTCCTCTAGAGCAACTTGTCGGTACATTTTTGCGATATCTGCTGATAAAGCAATTGGATAGAACCTGAAGCGCATGATTATCGAGTAGAGGTCGTCTTGTACCGTGGGACCAACCATCAAAGTGTCGTTGAGTGATTGTCCGGATGATGTTGTTGCAGATCCGTCGAAAACTACACTTAGCTTTGTGGTAGTGGAATCTTCCTTGAAAACGCAGTGATGTGGCAGATAATATAAGCTATCAACAGGCTTTTCAATTTTTCCAGGCGGTATGTACTCCATATGCCCCATATCGAGAAATTCGTCTATGAATGCGGTATAGCGATCTTTTAGTTCTGGATTCTGTTCCAGTCGTCGCTCGAGATAATTGAATCTGCTTGTGCTAAATTGTCGCCAAGTTGACTATTGGGCTTGAAAGGCAGCTGCACGGTGAATTGTCCATTTTGTAGTATGGTTGTTTCCTTAAAGTGAGTTTCACATCGATCTTCTTTTGTTGTTGTCTTTTTGAAATCAGGAATTCCTTCTAATTCCCAAAATTTCCTTAGACTATCGTCAATAGACACATGAAATGACTTGAAGAAGGTTGTTGGAGGACCGGGTGTTCTGCCGCTAATCATCCAACCAAATAGAGTGTCACGTGTATAAAGCTTGTCTGTAAGCTAATCTTTTTGCAGCCAACAATGTCGTTGTAGACATCACAGCCTAGGATTATATCGATTTCCTTTGGCTTATCAAAGTCTGGGTCCGAGAGCTTAAGACGTGTGATATCCAAACTGTTCGGCATGTTCACCCGTTCTCTGGGCAGGTAGCCAGAAAGTTTTTGAAGAGTGAAGACTTCAATATGAAGAGATTGATTCTGAGAATCCTTTGTTTCCAGATTGACAGAACCAGATTTCACAGTTTTTGCTCCTCCGCGAACTCGAGTTAAGTGAAGAGTCAATTTCTTGATTGGTAGCTTGAGTCGGTTAGCACAGTTGGTTGTAACGAAACTGCATTCAGATCCGTTGTCCAGTAAGGCTCGACAATTGTGATAACCGCCATTTGCAGTTTTCACCTCAATTAATACAGTTCCCAGTATGGTAGTGGCACCGGTAGTACCCCCGTGACCCGCAAACTTAATTTCAGGTCCCGGTTGCTTGTTTGGGTCTGTATGGATGTGAAGTAACGAGTGATGACCCTTTCGACAGGTTTGGCACTTCGACTTGCACTCATGATTTTGGTGTCCAAGGGACAGGCAAATGAAGCATAATCGCTTTGATTTGGCTTCTTGTCTTCTATTGGAAATAGACATTTCCTGAAATTTTGTGCATTGATACACGCGGTGATCACCACTGCAGCATGGGCAGATGATCGTCTTAGCAGAGTTCGTGGGGTATGTCTGTACCTTGTCATCTTTCTTAGAGTTTCCAGATTGGTCTGAATTTCCTTGATGATTTTTTCTATGAATTGAAGGTAAGTGGAGGTCCTTCGTAGCTTCTAGGGCGCGAGATTGTTCCTCCAAGAACTTCTTCATCTGTTTGATTTTTGGCACGTCACATCCCGCGCAGGAAAGTTCCCATTGTCTTCTAGTTTCAGGATCCAATTTCTTGGCCAAAACGTGAACCCAGATCAAATGGCATTGATCAATTTTTAGTCCAAAACCTGTCAGTGCCATCGTGTTTTCCGTGTAGGTATTAATCAACCGACGTATTGCAGCGGATGACTCATGCTTCATTGGAGTAAATTCAAAAATTACTTCCAAGTAAGCGTGTGAGATCATCTTGACATCAGCATATCGATCCTTTAGAAGTTCCCTTGCGACTGAGTAGTTCGCGTTTGTAGTAGGCAAGTAGGATAGCAAACGAAACGGTTCATCCTTGAGGGCACCCTTTAGGTGTTGCAGTTTCTGAACATCAGACAGCGATGCATTTGAGTGAACTGCTCCATCAAAGGAATCTAAGAAAGGTAGCCATTGATCATACCTTCCGCTAAATGTTGGCGAATTCAGTTTCGGCAACTTCAGGCAAGTATCTTGGTTTCGGCCAGCACCACGTTGGGAAGTGGATTCGTAGGATCCTGTTCCGCTTGCGCTGTCGTCATCTTTGACCGATTTAGTTGAATATTTTCCTCGGTCATCTAACATAGTTGTGATCATTTCCATCAAACAATCTACTTGAAGGTAGATTTTCTCAGCTTCTTCCAATTCAACTTCAAGTGCATCTTCATCATCGTTTAGAACATTTGAAATTTGCTGATTAAGCTCTTCCAGTTCCTTTTTCTTTCGTTCGCACATCGTGAGATTGGCCTTGAGAGTTCCAATTTCCTTGTAGGTTAGAGCAGATGCCTCTTTGTTGAAGATTGCTGAGACGGCATTTTCCGATCGGGTAATGACACCGATGTTAGCACTTCTTGATCGCTTCAAAGCAGGAAGAGTGAGCGTCACGTTGCTCATGTCACTAACAGGTGATGACATTTTTAACTTTCCTCTTTGTTTCTGATGTTTTGTTCGTCGTGAGTCGCGTTGCACCAAAAACGTTGTGCAGCAAAAGTTGGGAAACGAAAAATCACCAATCCGACTGAATAAAACTAGTGATTCGCAAAGAGTGTAAATTATTTCATGAGTTATGGATAGAAGTCAATTGATTTTTGTTAAATGCGGTTTTAAATAAGTAAATCAGTTCAATCGTAGATTTAGTTCATGTAGAAAGCTGAGATGTCTTTTTTAGGCTTCAACACGACACAATTTTTAATTGGTTGACGCGGCTGCGTAGTATTCGTTTTAGTTTTTTTGCGTTATAATTTTTGTTCTTTCTCCATGAAAATTAGCGTTGCTGTAGCTCTGAGTGATCAAAACAGGACAGATGGTGGGGGATACGATAAATAGGACAGATGGTGGGGGTAAATCGGTTTTTTTGAGGTATACGTGTTTCTACCTAAATGTGCGTTGAGGGTTCTAAATAGGTGTTTGGCTTTCGCGGTTCTGGCGATGAAGAAATTTAAGGCATGAATCAGTCTCAAGGTTCAGGTATAAAGAAGCACAAATTGTTGTTCAAAAATTGATGACAGACTGTTAATATTTTTTTCAGTCAGAGTCAATTAAGAGTTGCGTATCAGGTGAATCGTTCCAATTGAGTCAGTAGATACTGTTAACCTGAAGAGTGTGCTGGTTAGTTAGCTGAATTGATTTGCCGTGATTTGCTCTTCAGTTCTGGAGTGTAAACTGAAACTGATGTACTTAGCGACTACCCACAAGATGCCTGAATTAAAGTTTGGGAAGTTCAGGATTGGTTCATGTAGTTTTTTTGTCCAATGCTAAGTTATAAATTTTTTAAATGTAATATGCGTAGTCTTGATAGATCATGGGAAACGCTGATAGAACAATGTTATGTGGGTATGATTTTTTTTATGGTTTAGTTATGGTGCATGATTGGTAGGTATCAAATGATTTACGTTCTCAAAACAAAAAACAACAAGTTGACAGGTAGAAGCTGAATAATAATAGTTTTTCTATTCAGGTTGCAATATGAATGAATCTGAGCAAAATTTTTTGATGAGATGATTGATGAGATGATTCAAAGAGCGAGCAAACAGAAGAACGTTTTTCGTAAATGGCTGTAAGCGAGAAGTTCCATGTGTGAAATAAATTGAAAAAATATTGTTAATACCAAATTGTTGGCACTGTCTTTTTGGTCAACGCATCTGAACGAAAATAATTCACCTGTTCAAAAACTAATAAATCTACTTTTGAAAAATTGAAGAGCGGGACAACAGAAAAAACCAATTATTGTTGCCGCTCAAAATCGTTTATACATTTTAGCTGCTGCTAAATTGTATGAATGGTGAAAAATTCTTTTTCGTGCTTAAGGTAAGACGTATCTTTGATGCAAAGTATCTTTTTTGTATCTTCCATTTCCTTAGTTTTAATCTCTTTCCCGCAACTGTTTTGTTGTTAAAAGTCGTGAAAAATTCTCAAAAACGCTCAAACAATTTGAGGGGTATCAAAAAAAAATCAGATGATAACGTATTTTTAAATGCGCGAACATAGTGATTGTTTCCCCGGCGCGCTCCAAATTATTGAATGAAATACTACTTACGAGCCACCCTGTGTTATGTTGCAGAATAACATAATGTACACTAAAACGATTATTGGCGTAAAAATAACGCCGACCGCGCAACACGTACAAGAACACGTCTTGCACATGATGAAATTCAAAAAATTGATTAAATGAGCTGATTTGGAATTTGATTAAATTTTCAGATATAATAGAGAATTAAATTATTTTCTGTCAAAATTATAAAACAAATTCTTGACGAAGCAAAAATTGCAATCATTTAACTGATTTTTTAATTTCTTCTCGAACGAAAATTGAGCGCATTGCCCTTAGAAGCAAAAATCACTTTTGATCTCTGACTTTGTTTAGTTTACTGAAGCTCTCTGAATTGACCAAAAATCACCATTTTATAAATTTCCAATGAGAGTTTGGAAATTCTAAGAAAATTTGGCTCTAGAAGATCGTCAAGAGAAATTTTTGCAAGTTTTTTTCATTTTTTTTGAAAACTTATCTTTCACTTTGAAAAAGAATTCTTCTTTGTTGCATTTTATTACAAAAATTTCATTTCCATATAGAAATCGTTCGCCTTATACGCTAACCAATTCAATAGAAGTAAAGTATAGTGAAGTTTTTGTTCCAACCACTGATAGTCGGGAGGAACTTGTTTTTGGGTGCGTTTTAGTTTTTTGTCATGGAAAATCAGGCACCACAAATAATCATCAGAACTGATCCAATTAATGAAAAAGGAAAATTGAAATTTTCTCTTTTCCCTTTTCATAGAAGATTCTGAGTGCGCGAGAAGCTGAAAATAAATTTTTCCTTTTTGTCTAAGTTCGAGTGAGTAAAGCCAGCGACTATGTTTTATAACAGAAAAAACATTCAATTAACCCGTTAATAAGCTAGTTTTACTCCAGGAAAAAAAAGTATCTGAATCTTCGGGCAGCTTTTTTCCACAATCTTTAAGTTCTTACAAAATTGCATTTAGAAATTCAGTTTTATAAATCAGTTTTCGAAGACAACAATAGTTAGTTAGGGCTTAATTACTGGCATTCTAAGTTTTTTGTCTTTCCGTTTGTCATACCGCAAACAAAAAACTGCGCAAATCTTTGAATTTTTGTATATGTTTTTTGCTATGTGTGGCCGGAATTTTCTGTTCACTTGCATAGCAACCTGTTTTTAATTATTCATTTAGTTTTTAAATGGTAACTACATGGGAAATTTTAGCAAACGTATATCAACCTTTATTTCAACGTCAGATCGAAACACTATGTCTAATTATCATCAAACAAAATTTTGAAACTGCTTAGTGAGTATAAATGAGAGAACTATTGAAACGTTGTTTGTGGTTTTTTGTTGGAGTTTGCAAATTCATAAAAAAAGTTTGCAAATTTATTATGATTAAGTTTGAAAAAATAAAAAGTTTCCACTTTAGATTTTTTTCTGTGTTTTTTCTAAGAATGAAGCGTGTAACGTTTGTTTGCAATTCACTGACCTCAAAAGTAATTGTTAGTTAATTAAAAAAGCTATTTTCAAAACACACAATAAAATGTAATATAGGGGAAGTTTGCAATACATATCTTCAAATAAGTTAGACGGCGGCTGAAACTATTCGCAATTTAATCAAAGCGGGTCGTCTTAGGATTTTTGCAGAAAGATTTTTTGTTATTAGAAATACATAATGTTAAGCAAGTTTTGCATGAACTGTTTTTAGCTTTTTTAGTGGTTTTTGCAGTTTTTAGAGGATCTGGAAAAATATATTCTAATCCGGCGCGTAGCTAGGAACTTCTCAAGGTGGGGGGGGGGGGTGGCTGTAGGGGCGGGTTGCTGTAGGGGGGCGGATTTTTAAATTTGTGAAAAAACAGGCCAAAAAAGGCGTTTTTAGGCTCTTTTCAAAAAGTTTTGACCAAAAACCGCGTTTTTCGGCGCGCTCTCTCATCTCAAAATTAGTAAAGGTTGGCGCCAAAGGCGCCTTTAGAAAATTTTATGATAAGTCAACCAAAAATGGATATCTCAAAAAAGTACAAAAAGGGACCCTTTGGGTCGGCAGGAGATCGAGTCCCTGAGGGGGATGGCGTCCGCGTTATAACACTTTGCTAGAATTATTTGACTCATCAGAATTTTGTTCTCATTTTAGACAAAAATTTAACGCGACTTTCATGTACATTTGACCTTGTTTGACCTCAAACTCAATTGTATTGAATCTATGATTGAAATTTGTTCGACCGTGACTCAATCATATGCTACTAATATTTCAACGTTTTCGACAGAATTGCGCTCTGTTCGACTTATGATTTGACCCTTTCGACCCATGATTCGACTTTGGTTCGAACAATGCCAGTAGTATATGTCGAATAGAAATTGTCCATGTGGGGTGCTGACCCCCATGTAAAAGAATACGATACAGAGTACCGATGTTTTGGTGTAGGTTATAGATATCACATGTGTTAAGATAAATTGCAGGTTTCAGAGTTTCAGATTGTATGATGGTAAGTTTCAACAAAAATTTGTTTTTGATAAATGTTTGGCGCCCGATTTCGCCGATGCAGCTGTGTTTAAAACTCTAAACGTTTTCTGGATTCACAGAAACAAAAGAGATGCTAACTCAAGGCCAGCGTTTATAAAGAAAGGTTGAAAAAATGTTTAATTGTAGAAAGAATGTAACAAGCTATTGCACCGTATACACTTTTACTATTTTCTCTAACAAACTTAGAGGTTTAGCATGTATTCCATCCAATTCAACATCCCGTCCCATTCAGAGTGAAAAGTAGCTCAGTCCTTGTTTAGTTTGTTCATTAGTTACAACTGCTTGGTTAATCGTTTTGAACCCTCTATTAGGTGAAATCAGAATCACTGCTTCATTCAATACTTGTCAATACTTTGCAATCAGTTCATCTCCAGAGTGTAATATGGAATTTTTTTTCTGCAAAAATCAAAGAGAGGGAATCTGTGTCCATTTCGAGTTCTCAATTATGCTAATGTCCCTAAAGTTATCGAAAAGTTATAATAGAGTTCCTTAATTCTCAACTTGGTATACTGTACTTTGAAAGATCCTACTATAATCAGTTCACGATGCTCAATAGTAGTTTTAACAAGCTTCATGAAAATCTCTAGCTACAATATTGAGGTTTGTAAGAACTGATGGTTTATAGCTTTATGGGTTTTTTCGTCATCAAGATACTTTGTCATTGTTTTCTTTAATATATCCATTGTTTGTTAGACATAGGAACTATTTCCTGGCAGTTTCGTTTTTTGGCTGTCACTTCAGTTGAAGTGTTTTCATCACCGGCTCGCCTAGCTTCAACAACAGAATGAACAAAACTGTGGAACACTTTACGCGATTTGTGTCTTGCAACTCATTGAATTTGCAAGCACTGTAGTTCAAACTCCAAAATAAAATTGAATAGGGGTGTAGTAAAAGTGC